AAGAGAACCACCAAACAAGCCCAATAAGCTCACAACAACAAATAAATTTAGTTACTTACGGTGCTAGCAAACCAGCTGCAACACCTTCTTCTGGAATTGAAAGTCCTTCAAATAAGAGTAACAGCCGCAAGGGTGTGAAAGGTGGCAGTCCTAGATTGGCCAGACGATCTACTGGATCAGCTGATGCTATGCCACCTTCTCCTTCAGTGCTGCTGGCCCCCTTGGATTTGCGATTGCAGTTCTTACTGAGATTACTCCCTATTGTCCGTGCAGACATGTAATTTTACTTTTTGGCTGGCGTATGTCTTGCTGTATATTTCTCACTTGAAGGGACTGTCGATGTAATTGACTTGAAAGAGTTGGTAATTCACATTAAAATCTGCTGTTGATCGACCCTACGTATTTGCTGAATAGCAAATATCACGTAAACTGTCATAATTTACATTCCCAGTTCAAATCTCTGACCAGCTGTTTTCTTTCCTTTCAAAAAGAACTGTGATCTTGATAAGAATGATTAAGAAAGTAAATTTTCCTCTGGTTTGTTCTACCCTCAGTATTTCATAAATGTGGAGGGACACACCCTTAAAACAGAAATAAATTTTTCCTTCCAGATTTATAACTTGAATGTACATCTCTTTAAGATACATATTTATAATAATTTTTAATTATAAATAGATAGTAATGAGTAATTGATAAGTGTGTAGTACTTGTGGATCCTACGAAATGTGTGAATAAAAAGTGATTTGACCGAGTATAAACCACTGCCAAACACGTTCTTAGTTTATGGTAAATTTTATATGGGTGATAGCTGCAAAGCAAGTCCGGCTTTCTTTTGTTAATGTCGTTGATGGATGTACCCATTGGAGTAATGTTTTCGTATGAAGATTCATAAGTGATTCCAATTTTGTCTTCATAGGTAGAGGTATGTGTTTTTCACTTTTTGTTCAGATGATTTTACTCTTATCTTTCGAGTAAGATAAAGATTTTTGTTGTTTACTTCACCTCTAAAAAAATAATTCCTACCAACTCCTTATTCGTACTTTTCAGGGAGTCTCCTCTCCGTAACATGAGGTACATGCTTGCTTCAGTGGTTCTACGTCTTCTTGGAAGCAGAGTTGTGTATGAAAATGCCAGTCACTTTGTTGATCCAACATTAATTTTGTGAAATAGAGAGGGGAAATCTCCTACAAAGACTTCTTCATTTCTATGCGGGGAAAGTCTCTTTGATTGTTTATTGTTAGTGCTGCACCCTGTTGAAATTTAGGGCCTCCAATCGACCAAACCGAGCTCAGATTAAACCACAATCAAACACCACAAGAACAAACCGAACTCTCCAATCCGACCACCACCCATCCATCGGTTGCTCCAGCCTTCTACAGCCCACAAAGGACTCGGTGTGAAGAGTATGGCAGCCCCAAGAGACAGCCACAAAGGCTAGAGAAGAGAGCAAGTACAAAGCAAGACCCAAGAGCAC